AGCTATGAGGTTTATATTTGACAAAATGTTCAAATGTAAGAATGATATTTTGGCACCAAAAGTCATAATCTTTAACGGATAAAATTGCAAAAATGGTCCCTGTGGTTGTCAAAATTATGCAGTTTGGTCCAAAACAAAATGTTGATGCACGATTGGTCCAAAATTGGATCTTTTTTGTGTTTTTGGTCCCTGTACACTTAAAATAACTATTATGCCCTTCATATTTGAATTTTTTATTTTTTATATTTATATTATTGTTTTTAATTAGTAAAAGTCTCTCTCTCTCTCTCTCTCTCTCTCTCTCTCTCTCTCTCTCAAGAACACCCTCCAGGTGCTACCCTCTCAAGAACATCCAACGTATCCCACCATTATCATTTACCACCACGATCGCCTACTACCATTTTCGTTCACTACCACCATCCGCCTTTCATCATCGCCGTTTACCACCACCATCCACCTGCTACCATCGTTGTTCTCCACCATCCCCTTAAGAACACACACAATCATTCTTTCTCACTCCTCCTGCCATTATCTCCATTCGTCACCACCGTTCGTCGCCGACTCCCCGACCACCTCCATCTCCCCCACCATCACCTCTCCTTCCCTAACCTGATAACCATTCGCCACCACCATTCACCTGAAAATTCAAACCAAAACGTCAAAAAAATTGACGGATTTAAAGAAAATGGTGGATGTTGAACCACAGATCCATCTTTCTCCAGTGGCGGTCTTGAACCACAAAATTGTTCTATGCATTGAAATGTGGATTGATGTCGATTTTGTTATCGAATGGCCGATGTTGCAAAAGGTAGCTTGAAGGGAACAAGTGAGGTTGATGATGGCAACGCAATTAGAGCAAAAGAGAGTTGAGGGCCAGGGTTCTACTTCACCGACCTCCTTCTCCCAGATCAACTTCTACTTCTTTCGAACAAGATGAGGATAAGAGGATACGAAGTCAATTTAAGTATATTTCAAGGATCTGAGATTGAAATTGCCCTCCTAATTCGAGCTAAAATCAAACAATGGTGTAGAAATCGAGCAACCGTGGAGAACGTGACGTCGATCGATGGTGGTGATAGTCCAGTTGTTCTGGGTGGTCGATGACGGCGAATTTAGGGTTCTTCAGCTGAATCTTTCACTTGATTTTGTGATTCCAGTTGTTCGAGCCTAAGTTTGTTAATGACATCTAGATGTCTCGCCGTCGTATCATGTATCTTGTTGTGGATCTCGCAATGGAAGCCGCCACCGGAGCTAGGGTAACAGAGTCGTCGTTGGAGTGGTGGTGATGGTGGTCTTATTTTAGGGTGTGGTGGGGTGTGACTTAATTGGAATGGGTGGTCCGATGATGGTGTTGAGAGAGAGAGAGAGAGAGAGAGAGAGTTTATTTTGTTTTTGTTTTTTATTTTATTATAAGAATAAAAAAATAAAAACATTAAATTAAAATATAATTATTTAAAGGGCATATTAGTCATTTTAGGTGGGATGTGGACCAAAAACACAAGAAAATACAACCATATGGACCAAAACCATACAAGATATCTAAAATTGGACCAGTGGTGCACCAACATTTCGTTTTGGACCAAAACTACATAATTTTGCCAGGAATATTTTTGCAATTTTGTCATCTTTAACGCCTTCCTGTTACATTGGACGGATAGCAAATTGCTGAATAGTTCATGTCGACAAAATACACAAATGGTCCCCAATTTTACTACAACTTTTTACTTTTAGTCTCATGAGAAACTCATTCCAATTTCCATCCCTTCTAAAAGGAGGTGGCGATATGTCTTAAATTTGGTTCGAATTAATTTGTATAATTATATAGCTTCAAGTATCACTCTAATCCAGCCTAACATATTAAATAAATTGGTTGACAATAGGTTTACACATCTATCTCTTTCCAAGTCTAATAAATAAAATTAACCATGAAATTGATCCATTTAATTTCAAAACAAAAATAAAATAAAAAATATTACATCCAGTTAAACAATTCATAGGACCAAATAATTGTTCAAAATTATAAAATGATATATCAATTAGTCAAATTAAGTTACCGGTTTACTAATGAACAAACAATATCGCAAGTTTAAGAGTAATGGTTTTTTTATACTTCTTAGATACCAAATGATTAAATATTTATATTATAAATAAATATATGGAGGGTTGAAATTAGATCAGAAATTTTAACCACATCCCAACTTATTCAATTAAATGATTACACGTTTGGCATGTTTGATTAAGTTATTTCATACCTATTTTGTCATATATAGCCTAGCTTTGCAAAGAAACTATTCACTGTTTGTTCAAGAAAATTTTAAGGTCTAAAACTATTAATTGCTACTTGGATAAACTATAAAATGGTTTATTAGGGGGATTGTTTGTAAAATTCAAAAAGAAGAGGCACTAATAGCGTTATTATATAATTCTTTAGTGGGAAATTTATGAAGAAGGGAAATGTTGATAAATCTAGTAAAGGGAAGGTAGGATGGTGTAAGGTAGGTCATTTTATGACTTGGACGATATGTGTTGGATGATAGTGAGTCGTGAAAGTTAGAAGTTTCAAGCTTTGAGGTGTAAATGTGTAAATAGGTAAAACACGCAAAGAAACTTGCGCTATGGAAAATGGAGTGGAGTTCGGCATCAACCTTTTCCTAAATAAAGCATTATGACATGAAGATGATGTCCAAAACTATAAAGACACAACATTCTTTGATTTCAAACATAAAAATTATTCTAAACTCATCATGTTTTAACATACCATGTCACAATCCACAAATGTCTTTGTTTTTAAACATCAAAATCATCTGAAAAATAAATGCCTTAAAGGAAAAATGACGAAAGAAAATAAGAAGGTGCCACAAGGAATTATGTGTCTTGGAAGTAATACATATCGACATTTATGAATCTTTTTCTTGCGGGTATAAATGTACATAAATCTTTCATTACCTTTTATATATGATTCACGATATATTTTAGCTTGTCGTTACGACGATAAAATATAGATCAATTTTGTGTAAAAAGTGGTTCAAATCTAGAGACTGTGAGATATGATCTATCAAACTAGAAACTTATCTTGTTGTGAAAACAATGAGAAAAGCAAGAATGGTGAGAAAAAAGCAAAAAAAAAATGCCAATTGTGATTATATGAACGGAAGATGAAAACAACGGCTAAAGGTTAAAAAATAATTTTAAATTGATTGAATTGTTTAACTGGAAAATTCAGGGCCCAATTTTCTGCTCATATTTTTTTAGAGGGTGTTTGGAATATTTTTTAAATGAATTTTATTTTTTAATTTTTCTAAAAAGTTATAAAAATATTTAGAAGATGTAAAATTTCTTTTCAAAATAAGGAAAAAAAATGAGTTTTCAAAAGTCAAGAAAGTGTGATTTTTTGTAACTTTTGGATTTTTAAAGTTAACTCACACTTAAAAGTCAAAAAATACTACCCAAACATTTTTTAAAACCCACTTTTGACTTTTGTTTCCTCAAAAGAACTTTTAAACTTAAAAAGTAATATCCCAAACACCCCCTTAATATATACAAGAAGAATTTAATTTATGAAATTAGGTGTAAAACACATGCAATATTTGGGTTAATTAAAAAATCAAATATAACTGTCTAAATATTTAAGAATTTTAGATTTATAAAAAAATAAGAAAAACAATGAATTATTAAAAAAATATATTTTAAAATTTTAAATAAATAAACTAATGAATTTTAATTTGATTATGTTGAAATAAAATGGTGAGTCTATTAATGAAATTGATTTTCATTTATTACTATATTTATTATAATTATCATACTGTGAAATTTATTAAAATAACGTTTTGGTCCAAAAACGTTTGGGCTAACGCCACAAGTCCAAAGTTTTCATTTTCTTGCGTCTTTGGTCCAAAGGGTTAACTTCCGTTTATTTCCTTCTGTTAAGTTATGTTTGATTGGTCAAATTAGGGGTATTTTGGTCATTCCTTTATTTATGCCCCTTATTTTATATTAATAAAAGAGTCATATAAGAACGAATCTGAATCCCTCTTTGTTGTCGCTCTTCGATGTCTTGCATCTTCTTCAACAAATGGATCGTCTTCGATGTCTTCAAGAAATCAAAATCAAAAATGGTGCTTTGTTTTTGTAGTAAAATGGCCATAGTTCGCATTGCATGAACTGACAAAAATCTAGGTAGACGCTTTTGGGAATGCCCTACTGATGTACGCAAAGTTTTTTTTTTTGGATTTCAACATAAATCTCCCATTACATGTTATGATCTTCTTTTGTTTCTTTAATTTTGAAGGGATCCAAATGTCGATTTATTGGGTGATTTGATGGTCCAATGTGTGCACATTCAAAAGCTATAATACCTGGGCTGCTGAGGTCAATTAACAAGTTGAAGTCACAAAACACAAGACTCAAGTGTTACCTGTTATGCAGTTGGATGTTGTTTGTGTCTGTGTTGGTTTATAAGAAGTATATTGTAGTGTAATGGTTTAGGTGGTTTCTAAGAAGTAGATTTAAGTGTAATGGTTTGGGTAGTGTTTTAATGTTTTGGGTAGTATCTTGTTTAAGCAATGTAATCTTTTGGGTAGTACTTTGTGGTAGTCTTTTGTGGTTAAAATGTAAGCAATATAAGACATGTTTTGCAAGAATCTATCAATGGTAATTAAATTTGGTATGCACATTTTGACCATTCTATTTTGTTTGTGGTTTACACATCATCAATGACAATTGTATGTTTTGTTTAAAAGGGTACATTGGTCAAGTTCTACAACATGAAATTATACATGAGAATAACATCAAGACATTAAACATAACATAAGCCATTACATCAAATCCAGTCTAAATTGTTCCCATACAACACAAGGGTACACTATCAAGTACTAAAAATAACATCCAAATTGCTTAAACCCCGAAACACATAAAGTACTAAACATACAATACACATAAACATAACATTATCCCAAAAAGACACTTATACCCCTACATACATCAAAATCCATTGAATCCCATCACTTACCCCATTGACCTTTGCAAGTTATAACATTGTGTCCGTTATTTTTACACTTGCTGAAAGTTACTTTGATAAACTTTCGTGTAAGCTTTCCACTCCCACTAGCAACATGGCTTTGACTCCAACTCCCACTAGCACCATTGTCTCCCTTCTTCTGGATTTTTTCCTCAACATATTGCCTCCTCTTTTTCTTGGGCCTTCCAGACTAATTATGGTGTAGAGGAGGGGTGATTTTAATTGGGCATTCACTTATAGGCCACATTGCTCGACCTTTAATAGGCTCTACCTTATACACATAAGCTACTTTCCATGTTTCTAGCCAGTGCACCCTATAGGCATAAGTGTGCAACTCTCCAACTTCCTCACCATTATCTGCTTTGTTATTTAGCACTGCAATGACATGTTTACAAGAGAGTCCTATTAATTCCCACTTCCTGCAACTACATAGTCTTTCAACAATGTCAACAACATTTTGATCCTGTCATGGCCCTTGCACTTGGTATTTATCTAAACCACTCCACCTAGTTGTGTACTAAGAAGCTCGATTAACATTTTTCTCCATGATCTTTGTTGCAAATGGGGTTAGTGGACCAACATACTTGTTTTTCACCTTTATGACATTGCATATTCTTTTCATCATATACTCCTTAATGTATTCCAAGCAGGTTATCAATGGCTTGTCCCTTCCCTCAATCAATTTGTTATTAAAAACTTCACAAAGATTATTCAGAAGCATATCTGAAACTGCTCTACCTGAAAACACCACAATAATGTCAGGATCAAACATATACCAAGAAATACTACAACAAAAGGGTAAATTTGGAAGATGAAGTATATCCCTATAAAGTGACTTCTATCCTAGTGTTGTGGGGGAATCTGCTTCAACCAATTATAAGCTTATATATCATATGAGTTGAGTTCCTTCATCCTATGATTGAACTCTGGTACTGTTTGTAGCTGTATCATACTTTCCCAAGTGTTCTTTGTACTCATTAGTTCTCCTTGTTTTTCTCATATTGTCATGTATATACTTGAGAAAAAACTTGTGCTCAGCACATGGGAACAACTGAGAAATGGCAGCCTGTAACCCCTGTAAAGGAATTAAAACATAGTTAGTATAGTACATCCAAATATGTCAAATATAAACAACAAATTACAAAACTTTTGGCTATCACTTATAAATGTGAAGTTTTAGTTTGCATATAGGTCCAGATCTTCTCCAATACACTTAAGAAACCATTTCCAACTGTCAGTGTTCTCAGTCTCATTAACAACATAAGCTAGGGGATATATTCTATTGTTGGAGTCTACCCCACCTGTAGTTAAAATTTGTCCTGGGAAAGGGCCCTTCATAAATGCCCTATCAAAACCTAGAAAATCCCTCAGGCAAGCTCTAAACCCCTTCTTCATTCCACTCAGACACGCATACATCCTTTTAAACCTTCTTGAGGTAGCACTTAGGTTGGGTTCTGAATCAAACTCTAACTTCACAGTGGTTTCTGGATTAGTAAACTGCAACTCCATGACGTAATCTTTGAGAACATCATACTGCTATTTGTAATCACCCTGGACAAGTTTTTTTGCAATAGATTTGGCCCTGAATACCTTGTGAATAGAGAATACAACTTGATATTCCTTTTTAAGTTGTTCTTGAAGAGCTCTGACTAGGATTGTTGGGTTGGATTCAATCTGGTCCATTATCTATTTCGAGATAAACTTTGTGGTTGCAGATCTTACTTTTCTTGTCTGGAGGCATCTATGTTCATGGTCGTAAGTTTTTATGAACTAAGTACTAGTTACATATGACCTAGAACCTTGTATCACCCAATGATAAGGGGTAGGTTCACCCACATGACCATCATTAAAGGATAGAGTTCCTTTACAAAGTACCCTTAACCTCATTTTGTCGTTTTTTCACAAAGAATATATTCCTTCTTGTTTCCAGTGCATGCAATTGTATATTTTCCTTTCACTCCTTACTTTTATATTTTTGTCCTATCGTAAAAGTTACCTTGTGTGTCTCACCTTGAGAGCACCTTGTCTCCTTCCCTAATTCCTTTATTACAGCTCTTCTTTTCCTATCTATATCAAAACCCTCATCCAGTGAATCCCATTGATCATTATCTATAACGTCCAATTCTTCATTGACCTCGTCACTCTCATTATCTATATGCCTTGATAATCTTTTTTCAAGAAATTCCGCTTAAAGATCTAGATTCATGTAAAAATCCCTCATATCTACTTATACATCAGAGATTATATTGTCTTCATCCACCCATAAATCATTATCATCAGTATCCTCACTCTAATCACTTATTTCATGATTCTCTTCATCAGTCTTTGTCTTGTCTTCACTTCCATCATCAACTGCAAAATCTCTCATCTCTACATTCTCATCATTCATTTCATTTCTTTCATGATTCTCTTCTTCATTGACTTCCTTATTAATTGCATTGTCCTCGCCTTCATGAACCTCATCATCTACATTTTGTTCAATAGACTGTAAAATTTGTTGGTACAACCCAAGATCAAAGTCATTAGTTGCCTCATCAAATTCATTAAATCCATGGTCAATATCATTGGTTTCCTCATCAAATTCATTAAATCACTAGTCAATATCATTAGATGCATCATCCTTATTCCCACCAATCCTATCAACGCCAACATCATCCATGACCAATTTCTTAATACATGATGACAATGGTTTGTCCTTGATAAATTCCCTTTTTCTTAGTATATTCAGGGGATATCGGCAAGGCTAAAGCAGCTTCATTTGCTATCACAGGAGGTATGCATGTTTGTGGCATGCCACTGGGTTGATTATTAGTTAAAGGGGTTTGATGTTCCTCAATCTCCTTTAATTGCTCAATAATAACTTTTCTTACAGGTTTAGGAGTCATAAAGTAAGTAAGCAAGTTAGTAATACCATGTTCGGTGTAAACCCTTATCAGTTTATGCTCCTTCACATACTGGGCAAGACTAAGGACATCATCACCATTTCCTAGGGCCCGTAACCCAAAATGAATGTCTCCCTTTGGCACTCGAAAATGATAGTAGATAACTGTAGGAACTGATTATCCTAACCCTTTCATAATCACATCCATCTCGTGAATAGAAAACTCTTCTATATCCACCATATCAACATACGTCACAACACCCTCAATGTAGTTGACATCTGGAAACTTTGTGAACTCACCTCCATGATGTAGCTTGATGGTAAACAATGTAGGGTGTCCATCTTCAACACAATAACAAAAAACAAGCTTCAGAAGGTATGATTCCTTTTAAGCAAGTAAAGAAATGATCATAGACACAAAATTATGTACCATAAACCACCCTTGGGTCGAATGACGAGCTTGACAACCTTAAGTGCCACATTGGTATATGCATTCACTACGAAAGTCGCCTGATCGAAGCTATCAACTTTGGTAATCAGTTTAGGGTTCTTGATCATCAGTCAATGAGGAGGGAAATTGTATCGACTCACGGTTTTTAAGGACTATAAATGTGAATTAGGCTCGATATTATCCGTATGGCGATGCATACATACGGACTCTCTTTTATTAATATAAAATAAGGGGCATAAATAGGGAATGACCAAAATACCCCTAATTTGACTAGTCAAACATAACTTTAGTCCAAACTATTTTGGACTAAAGTGGCAATTTTGAGCAACACACAGGGACCATTTGTGCAGTTTTGTCAAATAGAAAAACCCATAAAATGACATGTAGAAAATAAATTAATTCAAAATAACCACAAAATAACATTTGACAAATTATATGAGAGTGTGACATGTGGCAAAAAAAAAAAAAAAAAAAAAAACCCTTCATTTATTAGAGTAGATGTTGTTTGGATTAACTGGCAAGGACGCATTCATGTGGTAATCAACTAATCACTCAAGGTCGAATCATATGAAAATGTTTATCATAAAACTTTTTCATTATACTATATATAATAATTACTGTTTTAATATAAGAACAAATTCAATTCTATTTTAGGGGTTTTTTTTTTGCTCACGCGCATGGTCAATGATATGGGTCGACCCTAATAACAAGTTGACACAATAATATATTTTTCATATCTCACAGATTAATCATAAACAATAACCAATGACAACCTCAAACTATTTATTTGTCATGCAATGTGCCGCAAAATGTTATTAAGGAATCTTATAAAAGAGCTAATAACTGTAAACTTATAGTATCATGTTCGTTAAAGGTTTGTTATAACAATTATGTTGTCGTGAGCTTCTCAAACAACAATAGTTTAAGTAGGTTGGCCGGATTGTATAGCAATACAATATATTTGTACAAGAAAGTATATAGGAAAATAATATTTGTATCGAGTATATTAACACTCATGAAATGCTAGAAGATTATATGATGAAAGGTCTTCTGCATAAAGTGTTACGGTAACATGTTATCAAGATAGGTTTAATTCATGTCCTTGGACAGCTTTCTACCGGAGTGGTTTGTTGCATGTAACATTATGAACCAATTACTTTGATTATAATTTTATTGTAAAGTCAATATTTTATATAAATGTATTAGTATAACTAGATAAGAAACCCCGTTTTGCGGGGTGGATTTGTGACTTTATTAAAGACAGTTTTTCCATTATGTCTTGTCCATATTTTTCTTCTGTCTCCCCCGGTTTGTATGATGAGTGTCCATTACTTCATCCACTATTGAAATATGTAAAGATTTTCATGTATATCATGTTATTACCAGTTTTCCCTTAGTTGTACGGTAGAAAAATAACTTCTATGTAAACTGTCAGACAAATGATCCATTGTGTTTCAACCTTTCATTTGTTTTGCATTGTTGCATATCCATGAAATTGATAAATTTAGATATTTAATACAAAATTGAAAGTCAAGAATTATTAACATTATTTATATTTTTATACTTGCAATCTTGTTGCAATACTATAAACATCCTAACCAAAAGAGCCACCTAAAATCCAAAGTTGTGAGAAACCGATTCAATTGATTGTTGTATTTTTAGTTCCTAAACGTTTGTTGTTCTTTTGTTCCATAGTATTTTTTTCTCTCCTTCCATATAAGTTATTGCATACTATATGAGCAAAAAGAATGAACCAATTTGGATTCAATAAATTGAGAATATGAGAATACTCGCTTTCCATTTTGTTTTTAATTTTGGGAGAAGAATAGCAAAATCAAAAAGAAAAAGGCATCAATCAAGAACATGGTGAGGGTTATTCTCATTTCCTCCTTAATTTAAGTTATGAAATGAAGGCCTTTTTTATTCATAGATGGTGAAAACCATATGTAAATATCTAATAATGAAACTCATAAAGCGGTGTTTGACTTTTTAATCATGGGAGAACAATAGTAAAATTAAAGAGAAAAAGCATTTAGACATGGAGTTTAAGGAAAACATATATACCACTTTATTTTGTGAAATAGATGGAAAATTATTGATTTTAGTTTTTTCTTTCAACTTTTTATTACCCCTTTATTTTGCCACAATGATGTCAGTTGGATCTTTAAAATTGCAAGATTTAACTAAATAAGAAAAATAATATAGACATTGATGTCAAATTATGAATCCAATTACTTTCATTGTGTGTAGAACCTAGGGCTGTCAAATCGGGCAGTCGTGTCGTGTTTTTGTCTGACACGACACGATACGACAAGGTTTTGGATGACACGAACACGACACGACACGATGTCGTGTTTTTTTCATTAACACGAAAACGAACCAATTAAAACACGATAACACGACACGACACGACAAAGATAATATTACATAAATGTTAGTGTATTTCATTCATACTTCAAGATATATAACATGACAAAAACGACAAACACGAAAAACACGACAACCATATGCTTAATTGTGTCAATTTCGTATCGATTTATGAACACGACACGACATCGTGTTTTTTAATCTTGACACGAACACGACACGAACACGAATTCGAATTTTGATTTTGTCCTCGTTTCGTGTATTTTTGTCGTGTCGTGTCATAAATTGACACCCCTATAGATTGTTACCCTCCCGGGTCATTTTCTCATATTACTTGATGTAATTATTATCTTAAATACATGATATGTTGTTATATTTCTCGTTAGTTTCTATTCAAGAAAACAAATGGAGCCATTATTTTATTTCTCTCCAAATAAAAAATTATAGTGGTTATTTGTGATCTTTCCTTCAAGACAAATGAACATTCTAATCTTGTAACAATTGTAATCTTTGGCCTAACCATATGAAACTAGTTTAAAAATATATTTCAATAAAGTTTTATTTTTTTCTAATGAACTTGAAAAAAAAGTAAAAAATTTAGAAATTGATTTCCAGTTCCAACTAAATATAGTCTAGCACATTCTAGTATCAAATCAAAGTTTTCAAGACTCGTCTCAACTAATTATAAACATTTTAACCGGATATGTTCATCTCAAGTGTAAGTGTAATGCAATACATATTTAACAAGGCATCTTTCTTGATTACATTATTTAGCTATCTTAATCTTAATATTACTTGGTAAATGTTGTTAAACAATTGTACATAAAAAAGATAAAACTACCTCTCGCTTACTTAACTTTTTATAACAAAACAAGCAGAAAATGAGATAAATTCATTTTGTGGACCATGTTTTACAATTTATTGCTCCTATAAGGACTAAAATTGCAGTTTCCCAGTTTATCTCTCATCCAAGATCCACTTGGACCAAGGTGTCAAGCTAATTCTTAGGGGTGAGCATTTGGACCGGTGGATCGGACCGGACCGTTTTTTTGGACTCCCGGGCCGGTTCTCGGTTCTAAGATTTCTATCCGGTCCAATCCGGTTTTTTTCCCAGTTCGGTCTGGTTTTTACCGGGTTTAGAACCGGTTGGACAGGTAATCTGTGACGTTTTTTAAACACTCATAACTCATTCTTTTTAAGTCAGATTGACCTCCGGTCTTTTCCAACATTTAGTTTACAATTTGTAGATGAATTTAGACTATAATTTTGTTTTGTTTGATATTATATTCACTGAGTTACAATCTTTCAAAGTAGAGCTATCAAAGCTGAAAAAATCAGCTTTTCGGCAAGATTTTGTAATCTGTGACATTTTTTAAACACCCATAACTCATTCGTTTTAAGTCGAATTGATCTCTGGTTTTTTCCAACATTTAGTTTAAAGTTTGTAGATGAATTTAGACTATAATTTTGTTTATTTTGGTATTGTATTCACTGAGTTACAATCTTTCAAAGTAGAGCTATCAAAGTTGAAAAAATTCAGCTTTTCAGCAAGATTTTGTAATATGTGACGTTTTTTAAACACCCATAACTCATTCGTTTTAAATCGGATTGACCTCCAGTATTTTTCAACATTTAGTTTACAATTTGTAGATCAATTTAGAGTATAATTTTGTTTATTTTGGTATTATATTCACTGAGTTACAATCTTTCAAAGTAGAGCTATCAAAGCTGAAAAAATTCAGCTTTTCAGCAAGATTTTGTAATATGTGATGTTTTTAAACACTCATAACTCATTCGTTTTAAGTCGGATTGACCTCCAGTTTTTTCCAACATTTAGTTTACAGTTTGTAGATGAATTTAGACTATAATTTTGTTTATTTTGGTATTATATTCACTGAGTTACAATCTTTCAAAGTAAAGCTATCAAAGCTGAAAAAATTCAGCTTTTTAGTGGAAGATTAGATTATGAGTTTATGAAGTTTGTTAGTTTGATTGATTAGTTTAAACTATAGTTTTTGTTGTTACGGTAATACTTTTGTATGTTTGTCTTAAAATTGTATAACTTTTATTGGTAAACTTGATTTATATGTTAGTTGCTTTTATTTGGAAAATTAATTTTTGCAAGTTATAATATTATACATCAATGTAGATTAGTTATGCATAAAACGGAAACGTATTAATTTTGCAAGTTATAATATTATACATCAATGTAGATTACTTATACTCTATGCAATTAAAGTTATACCGGTCCAAACGGGTCCAAAAACCGGAAAACCCGAACTTGGACCCGGACCCGGACACGACTCATCCGGTCCGGTCCATGGTCCACAAAATTCTCCATAACCGGTCCGGTCCAAAGCCGGTCCGATCCAAATGCTCACCCCTACTAATTCTAGTATACCGCATTCGTTTCTGGATCTCTTTACAAAAATAATAATAATAATAATAATAATAATAATAATAATAATAAATACAATATAAAATATTCTTATTTTTATGTAGTTACATCATTAATTAGAACAAAATATCATTTATTATAAACTTTGTAGAAGCTAATAAGCATATATTAAAAAATGTGACTAATAAATATCTGATACAACGGATCGAGACCACCGTTAAATCCCATAACCAAAGTACCTAACCATCGGTGCTATGGCCCCATTAAACCAATAATTCTCGGATGGTCGGTCCGTATTTATCTTATTCTCATATTTTAATTTATTTTATCAACTATTAAACGTTTTATTCTACTTACAGCTTATTAGAAAAAGTATCAAATCTTATATTCTACAATCAATTATATATGTAAACACTCCCGACAACAAAGATAACATTCTTTAATTCCAAACATGAAAACTATATTAAAATCATCACGTTTTAACATCCTACATCACAATCCACAGCATTCTTCCGTTTTACGCATCAAAAATCATCACATTTACACTCAAGATTCTCCAATTTTTAACACCAAAACTATCATAAAACTCGAATGTAACATGTCTAAAAAGAAAGAATTACATAAATATTTGATATTACTACATACACAAAAACTAACCAACTCTTAAACATTTGAAAAAGAGAAAATCCTCGGGACTCAATCATCTGAGCTATAATCAGTGTTAGAGTCAGGCAACAAAGGAACAGCAGCACAACAAAACAAATCCTTATCTTTTAAAAGAAGACAACTCCCTTTAAAATCCCATTTCAGATCCATCACTGAAAACTGAGGCAACGGAACATTCACACAGTAAGCACCGGATGGGGTCCACATGTACAAATGAGAGGTCCCGGTGCATAAAACAAGTCTGGTGCATGTTGGGTCCCACGCAGCTGCGCGTATGGGATCTTTTTGAACCAAAATGGCTGCAAGTTCTAGAAGGTTCATGTCCCATATCCATAACACACTTGGCATGCTGTCGTTGCGTGTGCATATGTATTCACTGTCTTTGCTCCATGACATAATCCCTGGAAGTTTGTTTGAATATTATTATTTTAATAAAATTAAGTCAATTAGTCAAACAGGTAAACAAAATTGAAAGTTTGTTTTTGTTATTACCAATTCCTTGTTTAGGGTTGGGTTTGTCAGCAGGAGGCTTTTGGAAAGGCAGGGTGATAGGCAATTCCACAACATCATATCTAACATCAATCAGCCCTTGTGGGCCATATTCTGCAAAAAATAAATATGTAAACAAAAAATACACATGCTGAAACCATCATTTTATATGATTATATATATCATATAAACAGTCTTCATATGTTTTGATGTTGAAAAGTTACCAGAATTTTGTTGTGTATAATCATCTGTTAAAGATAAATCAGACATATCAAGCTGAAAGGGCTCATCAACCTCCTGAAATATGAAGAATAAAGATTAATATAATTTAAATAGAAATTATAATACACGCATTTGTAACACTTTCTATTATGGGTTTTCTGGAGAAAAAAAAAACATTTCTTCTTTCAGAGTGTTTCAAATCCAAATTTACCGATTTGACAATAACGATCATTACAGTATTTTGGAAAGAATAATTCGAATTAAAGAGCTTACAACCATGCTACATGGTTCTTATTGATTATCTTTTACTAACATATATAAAAAAATATAAAAGCAGGAGAATTTGGTTGAATGGTAGCAACGTACAAAAATGAGGCCTTAATGGATAAAGGCACTCTCCTCTCACTTAACCCATTAAGCCCATCAGTTTATATTAAGTCAAAAGGAAACACCACTAACTATCTATCCAGATTAAATTGAGTCCCCATTAAGTCCATTAAGTAAAAAAGAAACAACAGCTGAGAGAATAGAGCCAAGTCAATTTTTGGGACAGTTGGAGCATGATATTGTTAAACTTCTGCAAATCTTGAAAAACATAAAATGAATTACCTTGAAAACAGCAGCAGAACAAGGAGCTCTTACAGTAGATAAATGTGTAAATTCTGCAAAAACTTTCCAAGTTAAGTGATTTAGAACTCTTAACATCTGATCATAACTACCAACTGCTAAAGACTGGCCATTAGGGGACCAAGAAACACTCTTTACACCCAATCCACTTTCATATGCTTGATATTTTGATAAACACCTTCCATCTAAAGAGTATATCAAAACCTACATAAACAAAAACGCATACAAATGTTAGCCAAAAACAACACCATAGTACCTTACAGTTAGTTCAATAAGGACAATGTAGGGGGGCATATAACCTTATACTCAAGAGGGGAATCCCATATCACAATTGCAGTGTCATCTGGTGACCATTCAACATCAGCAAGATCTAATGTATCAACAGCAAAAACACCCATGATTTCCCATGTTTGACAAGATATTAAGTTTACATAGTCTTTGCAATCACGCCTCGTGCTTATTGCAGCAAAACTTCCATCTTTGGTGAAAGATACCCCTTTAGAAGCATGTTTTGGCCACTGTACATGTATGCATGCTGTGTTTAATAATGACCAAACTGTTAACCTTAACTGGAACTCTGATGTGGTGAGTATGTGGCGACTGTCTGGGCTCCACCTGGCATAAGCAATCCCGGCTGGACCTTCATCTATTTTGCATGTCCATTCAGGTTGTGCTAATGACCATGCTTGTATCATGGGCTTCTTGTAAAGTCCACATAGTATGTACTCAGAATCAAGAGCCCATTCGATGTAGCTTATCTTATCCATACATGAGAATAATTGTACAACCTAGATGCAAGACAGAGTTATAGGTTAAAATGGAATCGCAGAGAGTTTAGAGATCAAAATTAAGATAATATGCTCCTGAATTTTGTACCCAAAAGTGCAGATATAAGGGAACTTATAATGTTCTATTGCAATTCTGAAAAGCTTTTGGTAAATATGAAAGCTGACACTCAAGCTACTTTTTAGATCAGATAATGTTTGTTCTATATGAAGAAGTTAAGTAAATTGTACTATACCTTGCCGATTCACTTCCTAAATTGAAATGTAGTAAGCAATTAATCATCATTCATCAAACGAAAAACATATGAGTCGACAAACACTCTTCCTCATTCAAAACTCAAACAATGCGTAATACTAAAATTCCTTTAAATTTTACCTTGAGAGACAAAACATCTCGAACGACAAGCCGGTAATCCACGGCAACGGCGAGATACCGAGCATTTGGGGAGAAACAGCAGGGACCAGTCTGCTTAAAAGGTTCTGTGAATTCCATCGAAAAAAACACACACACAAACTATCTTTCCACACAAAAACCTAACGAAACATGACTAGAATGTCATGAAGGTTGGAAAAATTCATCAATGTAATCTTGCTTTGATGTACTGACGGGTATAAGTAAGTCCAAAATTTCAGTTGAAGATTGAATTTAACATGATAAACAGCGATTTGATGATATGAGTAGATCTAGGGGGAGGTGGTGAGAGAAATGGGGGTGAATTTTGGGGTGAAACTTAAAGAGTGGGTTTCAAATTTGAACTCACTGTGGCGATAAAGTGGTATCAGGAAGAATGTTCGACTTAAAACACTCAAACGGCGAATTGGTAAAGCACTAACAAATTAGCAATATGTTTATCAACATTTTAAAGATTAATTTGTTGGTTAAGACAACGTTTCATCTGATTTATTAATTTATTGATTTTAATAATAATCAATAACTTAATTTACTGACTTTTAAAATTATTTTTATGACTGTTTAAAAAAATTATTTTTCTACTTCATAAGTCAATAAGTTATCTTATTTAAAAAAAAAATTAGGGTTTAATAAAATCCTAAAACTCTCTGTAAATACAGGTTAATATAAAAGGAGGAAAGTATATCCAATTTGATTGAAAAATGGTTTTGTTTACGCATGTTATCTTAGTTTTGAGGATAAAAATCATTCCAATTTGATTGAAAAATAGTAACTAGTTCAAGATTAGGTTGCTACAAATCAGATATTTAAAAATCCAAATAATAGATTTTTGTATTCGTATCTAGTATTTTTGATATTTGGAATTTTTAACTTTTAGTCACACTCAAATATCAATTCATTAACATACTTAACATCAATAACCAAAGGTTTTCTATCCAGCGGTATCCGGTGTTGTTTTCTCTCATTGAAGTTGAGTATTCAAGTTCCGTTAGGTACATGATAGACCAGCAGTATTCGGTGTTGCCTTCTTTCATTAAAGTTGAGTATTTAAGTCCCATTAGGAACATAATGGATTTAGGAGTAGTTTAGGTCAAACAATAACTTAACATTAATAAAAATCTAATAAATATCATTAAGAACTTAAAATCAATAAAAACTAATAAATATCAATAAAAAAACTTAACATCAAGTTGAAGTCAATTGAACCCAATATTTAGGTCACACAAACTAATGTTTTTTATACATTGATTATCCATTAGATATAATATGGGTCGAGAAACTCAACGATACTATTCTTGAACAACTTTGGGTTGGGTTTTCTTTTTTTCGCACTATTACGGATATGAAAATAATGGGAAATAGGATTCAGTTGTCAACTGTCCCTATCGGAAATAGGATTGACTATGATAGACCAGCAGTATTCGGTGTTGTCTTCTTTCATTAAAGTTGAGTATTTAAGTCCCATTAGGAACATAATGGATTTAGGAGTAGTTTAGGTCAAACAATAACTTAACATTAATAAAAATCTAATAAATATCATTAAGAACTTAAAATCAATAAAAACTAATAAATATCAATAAAAAAACTTAACATCAAGTTGAAGTCAATTGAACCCAATATTTAGGTCACACAAACTAATGTTTTTTATACATTGATTATCCATTAGATATAATATGGGTCGAGAAACTCAACGATACTATTCTTGAACAACTTTGGGTTGGGTTTTCTTTTTTTCGCACTATTACGGATATGAAAATAATGGGAAATAGGATTCAGTTGTCAACTGTCCCTATCGAAAATAGGATTGACTATGGTATGTGTTCCTAAGAAAAGGAATTTGTACACATTTCGGGATCTCAAAGGAGCGTGCAAACACATAAGAAATCAAATTAAAGCCTAATAAATATAAATTTTAGTTGGGACATACAAACAATGGATCATTAAGCCAAAGCACAATTAAAATTGTAAATTAGAAAATAATTATAACATTTATCTAAAGTTATTGACACATCTATCTAAAAATAATTACTAGCTAAAAACAATTTCAACATTGATAGATTTCAAATCACACAACAAATACATTCAAACGTCTTACCTAATTAATAATGTAATCTTGTTGGTTTAAAAAAAACAATTAAATATTACTAATAAGGTATGACTAAAATGATGTTTGATAAAGTTGAACCGTTTAATGCTTAATGATTCCAACGTTGTAATGTTTCAAAAAGGTTAAGGTGATTTTTTTTTTAACTTTTAGATTTTTTTTTTTTTCATTTGTTAAGTGGTTCATTCATAGCTTATCAAATGTAGTGAATGATGACCAATCTAGAGGTTATAAATAGGTTAAAATAATTTATTTATAACTCAACAAAACTATGATAATAGAGATTCTAAAATCAAGATGCATGATATATAAGAAAAGGATGATGGTCATATTGTGATATTAGGTGTTGACACCGAGCCACGATCGACCATTTACTCATTTGATTGTTTGTCACGTTCATGTAACGTAATGCATGTTGGGTTTAGTAGGTGTAGTTTTTGCTTTGTTTAATTTAATGATTTGTAAACATGTTTAAATTGTATCTTATAACTTGGTCTCGATCCAATTAATCTAACTATATAAATCATAATACAAATCAATTTATGTAATTTAACCCATTTTAGATGAATGTGAAAGCATACCACATTTGTTACTACTAAAATCACATAACTATGATGTACAATATTTATATCATATAAGCGTTTAGATTATAATACCAAAACGTATTATATAACATGTAATTCACATAATAGTTAGTGTTGATGAACTCCCAGGTATGCCAAACGGGGAAGTTATGCCATAAATTTTCAACACGTTTATCAACATGTGTCGTAGTGAAATTCTAAGGATGGTGTATCATAAGCGGTGGTACTCTTTTATGGTGGTGTATGATAATTATATGTATTTCAAATTATGTTTGTCAATTGAAGACATATGCTCCTTTTAGATTTGGTTATGGTATTCTTTCATTCATTCAATTTGGAGATTATTAAGGTTTTGGTTATTATGAAAGAATGGAGTTTTCTTATCCCACATTTGTACAATATGATGAAAGTTTGAGTGGTCTCTAAGCTTATAAAATGACACCAAATCTTTGGTTTTAAAAGCAACACAATCAACACATTTGAATTATTTGGTTCTTGTTTTTAATATTCTTTTGGAGTTTAATATTTTACTTAAGCTGTCTATTTTGCACCTATCTAAGTTGTTTTGGAAAACAAAACATAGTCATCGGGTTGCTTTAAAATGTTTGTTTATCAAGCACAAAGCATAATCCACACTTTTTAAGTACTTGTTAACCTACATACGCTCATTATATGTGTTTATACTTGTATATCAATATATGTTTGTAGTTATGTGATACACACATGTTTTATTCAATGAAAGGGGAAAAATAAGTACTTATAGAGTGAAGCTACTACGGTTGTGCCCCATAGACCGGGTTACATAGTTGATCATTTGTTGAGGTGTAAATGAAATGCATCGATGGTAGGTGATCCCTCCCGTATTGATCCAACAATGCCTCGGTGCTACCTTTTTCACCAAGACCGAGTGGCTACATTTAGTGCACCAAACATGGTCCATTGGGAAAACAATGCAAGAAACAAATGTGTGCTTTATTATATTTGTCTGATATAACATCTTACTTTCATTTTCATTATTATTTAATTTAATTTTAATTATGTTTCTATAAAATTTAATTATATTAAATAATGCTAAGAAGATGAAATGAATTATAATGTTTTATTAGGGGTTGTTTGTTTACCTCTTAATTGCAAAATTAAGAGGCAAACTCTTAAAAATTCATATTCAGATTGTTTGTTTGCATCTTATTTTTTACCTCTTAAATTTTCAGATATGAGACCATGTCTGAATTTTAAAAAATAACGCGTTTTCCCTTTGTGCCCTAAACATTCGATCGTTCATTCTTTTCACTATTCTTCACCAAAACAGCCCCCCACTTCTCCCTCTTTAGTCTGTCTCCGAGGTGTTTCACTCCACCAGCATCTTCGACGACACCACCTCCACCGCCACCGCCGCCGTTGCCGCCTCCTTTATCGACGCCGGTTCCAGGTGAGTTTCTTTCTCTTTTTCCCCAAAAACTCGATAATAACATTTGGATATTGTTTTTATGGAATGTTTTGGTCTGAAAATTGATGTTGCTTCCCTTTGAAAATGGAGTATCAAATGCTATTTTCTCTTCTTCTCCATCTGAAAATTGAATTCAACATATTAGGGTTGTTTTGGTCGTTTTTTTTCCTGATGTGGTCTGTTATGGTCGTTTTTTATGTTCAATTGTATGTAGTGTTTACTGATTTGCTTGAAAATCACAGCTGAAATTATGTTAATTTGTTGTTATGCTGAATAGTTGGTTGAAATTAGATTTGTTGTTGATGTTATGTTGAAATGTTGATGTTGAGATCAGGTTTGTTGTTGATATTATGCTGAATAGTTAGTTGAAATCATATGTTCTTGATGTTATCATGAAATCTGATGTTGAAATCACATGTTATGTGCTTTGTTTTGATGTGCATGAAAATTTTGATGTGCTTGAATAGTTAAAAATCTGGTTTATAGTTCTTGCAAATTGATCTAATTTCTTGAAAATATATGTTTGTTTTGATTAAAGACATGTGAGAAAGGAAGGATATAATTAGTTTGAAGCTTGAAGGTGTAGAGTGATGACCAAAGCATACACGATATGGAATGGGGTGCATAAGGCAACGGATACATAGCTAATTTACGTAACTAGATTGCAAATCAATTGGGGTCAAATGCTTCACATTAAATTTGTAGGATTTTATTTGAATTTCAGTATGATTTTTTGGATTTAAAAATATTTATATTTATTTGGATTTGTGTTTAGTTTTGATTTATGCTCAATTTTGATTTTATATGTTGTTTATAATTTTTTTATAACTATTGATTTTGTTATTTTATAAAAATACACTTGAATTCATTAAAAAATAAAATAGAAGGGTAAAATGGTCATTTTTATAATTCAGCACAACAATTCAGAGGTTTCAACCAAACAACATGTTAAACATTCAGATCTTAAAAATTCAGACCCTCTTAAAAATTCAGACCTTTTAAAAATTTAGATCTTAAAAATTCAGATTCTAACAAACAGCCTCTTAGACAATAGACATGAAAGTGCGTTGTTATTTCTTGCATTTAGACCTTGTTTGGGAAAAATGCAAGAAATATCAATGTACTTTCACACACACACAAGTTTCTCAAAATTACAAAAACGGTAACATACTTAGTTACATATATACAATGAAATACAAACGGTAACATATGAAACGAAATAATGCTTATATATCACACAAACACATGAAAGTACATACCTAATTATATGTTTA